ATTCTGACTCTCTGATCTCTGATCTCTGTGTGCTCAACTCCCAGAGGCATCTGGGCTGTGTGAACTCCCCAGAAAGCATGCCTGGTGTGGCTCCAGTTTGAAGACAGTTGTCTCATGCATTTTGTCCAGGTTTCTTGTTGATGGTGGTGGACACATCTGTCCCAGGGCTCTACCGAGGCTGGATGAGGTTGTGCTGTTGGAGGTTTGGAACCTCCTAGGCAAATGGCATTCTTGTCTCCTGAACCTGATGATGGCTTCAGGTGGTGACATCAAGGCCACGAGAATGCAGGCCTGAGCTCAGTGGTGCTGCCCAGAAGACCATCAGTGTCCTGTTGAGAGGGACAGTCACCAAGCTTTTCCTTTCCCCAGAAGATGCATGCAGAGGGTCTGAGCCACACAACAATCCCGGACAAACCTGAGTGCCTGTGTGCATGATGGGGACCCCCCAGACATCTCTAACCAAGGCCTGGTAGCATGGGGTGGGTGGGAAGTTGGTCAGTCTCTTTGGTCTCAATGTAAGTCTGGGCTGACATGTCCTGTTGGGGACAGGTATCTGCCCCGTCATTCTTCTCCTACATGAAGGTGGCCCGTTGCTCCCCCCTGCATGTTCCTGGGTTCCCTGATCTTGACATAGTTTAAGAAAGACCATGCCAAACTGGGGGTCAGTTTAGCAGGTTGAATTGTGTTCCCCAAAATGATGTGTGTAAGCTTGAACCCCAGGTACCTGTGAGTGTGGTGTGGTTTGGAGATAAGGTCTTTGCAGATGAAATCAAGTTGAGGATCTCAAGATGAGATCATCCTGGATCATCTGCTTGGGCCTAAATTCAGTGACTGGTTCAAAGTCACGGGGTCTCTTGCTGCATCCTCACATGGTGGAGGGTGAGTGAGCCTCTGGTCTCTGTTCTAAGGCACTGATCCATCCCAGGGTCATCCACCCTCCTGACACCCTCACCTTGAGGTTGAGAATCCCCATGTGAATTAGGGGGACACAATGTTCAGTCCATATAATGTGGACTGTAAGGTGCAGACCACACTGTGCCCTCAGCTGACAAGCACAGGCAGCTCTTACTGCTCCCGGGCCTTGCATGCCCCCTATTTTTGCACCGAGGTTCCCAGCATTTCTCGGGCACTGGCTCTCTTCTCTGAGCTTCCTGGCCCTTGTGGCTGGGTGGGCTGTGTGGCCAGGCTGGCTGATGAGTTGCGAATGGACTATCTGGGTCACCTCTGGGCTGGTGTTTTTTCTGGTGCTGATGCCAGTGCCAGCGTGTCTTTCCTCCATCCCTCGGCTGGCAGCATTTCATAAGCTACCCCACAGCCCTGGACCCCCAAGTGAAGTCTATGCCTCAGCTGCAGGACATGTACAGTGGGAGCAAGAGGAAACTGTGACTGGGGGCTTCCTGCACCTCAGAGCAGCTCCGCCACACGACTGACCCTTCCTGAAACTCTCAAGCTTTGAAGAAGTCAGCAGGGGCTCTAGTTGCAGCTGGGTGCACACAGTCTCGTGGTCCCTTCCCCACGCTGAGCTAGGTAACTTTGGGTAGGAGTTCAAGCCTTAGTGGAGGAGCGCTGAGAGAGCCCAGTTCTCATCACAGCCCCAGGGTCATGTCAGCACAAACACTTCCAAACTCCAGATGGGCTTCGCATGGGTGAGAGACCACCCCCACATCCGCTGTGCATGGGGACATGCCTCAGCGTCCATGCAGCCATTGCCCCCACATCCACAGGGTGCACGGAGGATGGAGGGGCAGTTTCTACCAGGTGAACTGGCCTGAGCGGGCAAGGAGAGGGCAGGTGTCGGGAAACCGCCCACGAGACTGGGGCAGGAGGAGCCCTCCCTGTCTCTGTAGCCCCAGTCATCCCCTCCCACACGGCTAGTGTGATGTCTGGCAGTTGTCTGTCTGTAGTTGTTCTGAGAAGCAAGAAAGGTCTGGGTCTGAGGAACCCCACTCCCATCCCCTGGACCCACACCTCTGGCATCTCCCCCTCCTCATGCCCCCTGACACCTGCCTGCTTCTGGCTCCAGGGCCCCATGAGTCCCTCCCATGGTTATCAGTAGCCTGAGCTTCGGGGAAAAGCTGCAGTCTATTAAGATTTAAAGAGATTTAATGTAACGAGACAACCAAGAGAAGGAATTTAATTTAGTGATAAAAAAGTAATCAAATCTCAACTTGTGGACAGAACACTTGCCTGAATTGCCAATTGTTCTCTCACATTTGTTATGAAGCAATTAACTCCATGGCGGGTGGATTTTGGACCATAGACCCAGTTCCCACGTGAACAGGTGCAGAACTGCCCAGCACCCGAGGTTGCTGTGGGCTTGAGCACCTTTCAGCCTTGCTATAGATTCCAGGAGTTTCATTTAGAGGCCATGCATGGAATCCGCACAGCGCCTCAGCCTTACGGTTTTAGTGAGGTGTCTGGTCTGTGCTGCTCGCCCACCCTCCCTCCTGGGGGAGGCAGGGGGAGACACAGGACAGAAGGGCACATGGCCCCACCAGGACGAAGGGCTTGATCCATGCAGCTGCAGCTCTGCGCCTGAGTGGGAGACGTCAGGCCTGTTCTGGAGCTGTGCTTTCCTGCACAGCCCTCCTGAATCCCACCCCTCCTCATGTCCTCTGCCCCGGACTGGGCTTGTGCCAGGGTGGCTGAGATCTCAGGTACACCGGTGATGCAGAATCCCCACCCTCTATGGCCACATGGCCTCTCCCGGGCGTCCCAACCCCCACCAAGACCTCACTCCACCGTGGTCCCTGGGGTGTGAGGTCAACGGAGTTCAAAAAACCACTTGGCCTGCACCTGGGGGGCAGCCAGCTCTGGAGAGGGGCGGTTCCTGCATTGCTGCATCAGACTCCTGGATTGGGGTGAAATCCATCCACATGGGGAACACAAAGGGAAGTGACAGTCTGAAGGGTGGTCATGCATTCTACTTCTCTTTTTTTTAATTAAAAAAAAAGTACAAAAATATTTATATTGTCATGATCCAGCACTAACAAGGGGTAGAATCCTGCAATATCTGTTTCTTGTCCTCTATTTTTTCCTCAGAGAAAGGTCCTCTGTTGTTTTTGTGGAAAGAAAGCATGCTCTTTACAAAGGATTCAATCAATGCAGACAAGTACGATAGAAATGCAAAATCTCTGCAGGTGCCTTGCCAAGGGAAATCTGCCATTAATGCTGGGCCACCATTACTCCAGGTAAGCAAGGCGTGGAGAGACAGGTAGAGAGATGCGCCCTCCTACAAATGTGAGCAGACTGCAGATGCTCACATTTTATTTTCAGTAAAACTGTTCAATTCCTTTACCCGAATTTAAGAAAAAAGGAACTAAGGAGTTTTGAGATGCAAATAAATATTTATGCCAGCTGCTACTTCTGGAAGGCTTTCTCTAAATGTAATTCTCAAAAGTTTGAGAAGAACAGTACAAGATTTGTCTAACCTCTCAGAAATAATGACTTAATTTCAGATGGGGCTGTAAAACATGAAAAATCAGTTGTGACAGGAAAAAGATAATCTACATTGCATATCTACTACTTCTGTAATAATAAAAGGGTTATTTTACAAATAAAGGTGGGATACAAAATTCTGCAGAAAAAGATGCACTTTGAGTAGTGTTAGTTTCCTGCTACTTCTGGGCTGCTTACTAGCTCATCTGTGTCCTGTGCTTCTGTCTCCTGAAATCTGCAGTCTCTCTTTTCAAATCACTCTGTTATTTTATTATCTCATCTTACACACTCATTGTTGTTGAATCCATACTGCTATTGTTTCACTGAGAAAAAATTATAAGGAACCTCCTTCAATCCTAGAATCGTCTTGACTTTTTCTTCCTCTGCCTGTCTTTTGCACGTTTCTCTGCCCCTCCTGCAGTGTGTTGGGGTGACCTCGACCTTGCTATATCGGGCATAAGTCTCCAGACACTTGCTGTCCTCTGATGTGATCCCTGGTAACTGAAGCAGATTTGTCTGCCTCTCCAGCTTCAATTTGGAGATTTGCCCTTTTGTGGGGGTGGGGTGTGTTTGGGCACGACATGCACTCTGATAGCATATCTGGTGTAGCAGATGCTGCTACTTGCTTACCACGTATCTATTTCCCTCTTCTTCATTTCTTACAAAACCTTGATTTTGTTCAGGGCAGCAATGTGCTCAGTTAAGAGCGAAATCTGTTATTCATAGCTTCTTCTGCAATTAGGTATGGCCATGTGGTGTGGTTCTGGTGTACGGGGACTTAAGGGGAGTTTTCTTTCCAGGTACTGTCCCTCCCTCTGCCCCTCTGTCTTCCTCCTTCCTTCCTGAAGTGTGGTTTGATGGTGGGGGCTGCAGCATGCATTTTGTAACCAGGAAGAGAAGATCAGGGACATTCTCTTGCAGACATCTCAGCTATGACATTCTTAAGCCACTGAAACAAGGCTGAGCGCTGCCCAGTTCTGGATTTCTTCCTGAGTGTGTATGACTTTCTGGGAATTTTGTTGAAACGCACATTCTGGTGCAGCAGGTCCAAGGAGAGCCTGTTCTGACAATCACATGGGCGATGCAAAGAGGGGCCAGCATTCTGATGGGTTCTCAGCTGCTCACGGCTGAACACAGCTCCTACTGGTATTCTGGGTGTCTGCTGTCTCCTGTAACAGGGTATGTCCCCTGAGGATTTCAGTCATTTGACTGTGGGGCTGCCCCTTTCCCTGGACACTGGCTTCCTGCTCACGTACGGACCTTCCCCTCCACATTCTTGTTACACCCTCTATCTCTCTGGTGCCCTTGGTGCCATTCCCTAGGCCTCAACCAGAAGAAGGAAGAAATGTAAGAATTCCCAGTGTTTGCTCCTCCTGTGTTTAGGAGAATGCTCAGGATTTTGCTAACCCACCAGTCTTTCTCTTTAAAATAATTTTATTTGGTATCAAAATGACAATTATAATTTGGAGGGCATTGCTCAGCACTGTTACAGTGAGAAATCATCATCGGCTTGTCTCTTTGAGCACGTGTAATCAGTCCGCATCACTCAGCTTCCTGTTCTGTCTGCAAGAACCAGCTGCTACTTGGGCTGGACAGGAGGCCTGTCTCTGCTTTGCACAAACGTACCACCAGAGCTGGGGAGAGGGGCTGAGGGCAAGATCAAGGCCGTACACTAAGGTGAGTCAAATCCGTCGAGGGCAGCTAGGGAAGGCCAGGCAGTGGGAGGCCGGAGAACAGAGCTTTGGTCCCCTGGACGGTCCCCTTCCCGGGGAGGAGGAAAGAAGGGGCAGGGTCACCTCAGACTCCTTTCCTGAGGATTAAACAAATACGGCAATGAGGACAAAGATCCCATGGGTTGTTCTGACCCAGCCAATATTTACTGACCCAGCTCCATGCACACCCAGTGCTGGGGGCTGAATGTGGTGAGAGCCCGGCTGACGTGGTCTTTCTCCTTGCAGGGCTGCTGGCTGAGGGGCATGCCAGGGAGCCGTGTTCTGACCCATGTGGACAGTTGGGAGGAAGACGTTGGAGCCCTGAGGGGTCCTGGCAGGGGGCCCGATTGAGTGGGGGGTGTTCTCCTTGGAGGTGAGGCCTGACCTCAGTGTCCAGTGAGCTTGGAGAGGAGGCAGGGGAGGGGCTCTAGGCTGGGGGCCAGCACGTGTCAGCTCACAGAGCCACATGGTCAGGCTGTCAGAGTGCAGGAGCTCTGTGGGGGGGCCAGAGTCCCCACAGAGGCTAGGTGCTCTCCTCCTCATGGTCACCATGAGAACATGCCCACTCCTGGCTGCAGGATGAGAGCTTGCTGCCCCCAGGCTAGTGAGGAAATGCGGGGAGTGCAGAGGCCTATGTCGTTGGCCTGTGGGCACCAGAGGGTCGGGCTGCAGATGTGGTCAGTTCTGCTTTGCTCAAGCATCTAGAACTGTGCAGGCAGCTCTAAAACTCTGCCTCAAGTTGGGGCTCAGTCAGAGGATGTGGTCCCTGCTGTGCAGGCCCAGGAAAGCATGGGGACAAGCCAGCAACAGATACCAGGCCCTGCCAGGAGGACCTCAGGTGCTCGGGCACCAGGAGGGCACTCAGGTAACTGGGCGCAGGTGTCTCCAGGAGGCCGTCCTCAGCAGGCATCTGGAAGCTCCCTCCAGGCCCACTGGGAGGGCTCTCTCCTTCAGAAGCACAGGTTCAAGTTCTAGCTTCTTGCTGGCCACTCCCTTGCCCTTCTCCCCACAGGAGCTCACACTACCACCCGGTTCTGGTCTTTCCAAGGTTGGGGGTGATCTCAAGTTTCATTGATATGAAAACTCATTTTATTTTTAATGGTCTTCAGCCTGGAAGTTAGTAGATTTCAGGAGGCTCTTAAATAAATTGCCTAGAAATAAAGATGAGCTCCTTGGTTTACAGGGAAATGTAACCTGTCTTCACTCTGACGTTTGCTGAGATGTGGTCCAGGGGAGGCGCCAGCCCAAGGAGAGCAGGAAGGCAATTCCCGCATGTCCTGGTGGCTCCTGTGGGCTGGTATGTCCTTGTGCCTGGGGTGGGGCTGGCTGCTGCCTTCTTGTCGATGGTGCTGAAATCCCACCGCCCTGGACGGTCCTGTTTGTTGCACCAGGAGGGTCTGGGTGAGACTTGCTCTGCCTTCCTGCCCCAACCTTCACCACACGGCTCGGCCAGTGAATGGGAACAGGCAACATAGAGGGAGGGCAGGCGCTCTGGGTGGGCAGTGGGGTGAGAAGGTTACAGGCTCGCAAGCCAGGCCCCCTTCCTGGTAGTACAATCCCTGGGGGTGACACTCTGTCCACCACAGGATACGGTCTTGGCTTCCTGCTGGGGGCAGGGTGTCTGAGGGCCTCCAAAGCCAGCTCTGCTTCTGTGGCCAGCGAGGCGGTGAGGAGCCACGGCTTTACCAGCTGGCAACCCTTCCACCCTCCAGTTGGTGCTGGTGGACATGGCCAAGCCCGGAAACATGCTCTGGTTGCTGCCTGACATAGGCCTGGCCATGGGCTGGGACCCCTCAGGCCCCACATCTGCGCTCCGTTCTGAAGGCCATCCCTTCCCAAGTGCCAAGACTCTGCCCAGGTGCTGAGTATGAGCACCCAAGGCTGCCTCTTTCTTCACAGCCACTGGGCTAGGCCACCTTGGGCTGCTGCCTTGGGGCTCCACTAAGAACGATTGCTTCTCTTTTAATTGAATGTGGAAATGTGCTCCATCCAAGGAGTACTGTTATTATTTGGTGCTGAATTTGAAGTAAAATTAAAATTAAAATTCCCAGCACTGGCTCGTCTGCAATCATGAATCTCATCTCTGTTTGCCGCACGGCGAGGCATGCAACTGTGGGACAGTCAGGCTGATGTATTCAGAAATGTAATTATATTTATAATTGGAAACATAAATTAGCTTCTTTTCTGGAGCTGGATCTAAATGTGGGGTGATGAGTGTGCTGTGTGTGTGTGTAAGTGCATGTGTGCACACATGTGTTTGTGTGCACATGTGTGCATGTACATGAACACATGTATATGTGCCCACGTGTGTGTGTGCCTGTCTGGCAGGTATTTAGAGGGCAGAAGTCCCATGTTGACCCACCCCTGGGAAGACCAGAGTAAGCAAGCAGGATACCACCCCTCCCTGCTTGGAAGGGTCCCTGGGCCTGACCTCATTCTGGCTTTAGAAGGTGGACCCTGCTGTACTGGTGTCCAGGGAGGCTAGAAGCCATTCCCAGGGACCCTCCTCAGGGAGGGTGTGCAGTTCTGCTCTTTGGGACAGAGAAAGTGTGCCAAGAAGGCTTCCTCCAGAGCAGCCCCCTGCCCCCTGATGTGGACACCACATTGCCCTGGGCCCGCCCTTGTTTGGCCAGTGCCCTCCTGCCCTTGCACCTTTGAGGTGGTGTCTGGCCAAGAGGATGGCAGTTGGTGAAAAGGTGGCTGACACCAGGCAACCTTCTCCCTGGCTAAGCAAACCCTGACTTTGTTCAGGCTTCAGGTGGCAGCAATGCACCAGGGGGCCAGTGCCCCCAACCCCCGGGAATTCTCACTTGGATGCAGCTGATCGTGCAATTCAGTCAGCCATGCTGGAGACTGGGGAGCCCCAGACCGGCCAGCCACCATGCTGATGGGACTTAGGGAGATGCCATAGCTGTTGGGAAGTGTCTGTCCTCCTAAAAGGACATGAGAAAGAGCTGGCTCCAGAAGCTTTTAGATGGTGACACATGAAGACGTGCTGCCGGGAACTGGGTGGCTGTCTTGCAGCCCAAGGAGAAACCTTCGCTGGGTGCAGATGGGCCTGCCCAGCCAGCTTTCACCTTCCTTGGATAACAAGCTCCTCAAGTCTTGGCTGCTTTCACTTGGGTCTGTTTTAGCATTTAGGAGGGTCCAGGACAGACCCATTAGCTGTGCAATTTTTACACTCAATCCAGAGTTAAGGCTTATTATGTAAAAAGTGGTGTGGTGGTGTATTGCCTCGTCTGCTTCTCCACGCAGGGACTCATAGGAACTCCGTTCCCCTCCACTCCTAGGAGGGGCCCCATAAGCTGCCCACAGAGGAAGAGGGTGTGGGGGGCAGTTTCAGGCATGTGATGCTTTCCTGGAGTCCAAGACTTGCACAAAGTCCTTCATTGGTCAGAACTGCTCCTGGGAATGGAATTCCAGGCTTGGGATGGAAGCACTCTGGCCTCTTCCCTAGATGATGGCAGGCCCTGCCCAGCCAGCCAGTTTGGGGGACTTTCAAGGGGGCTGGGCTGGCCCTTATTTTATTTGCCTGGAAAACATTTTGGACCACATCAGAGATTACAGAATGGCTATTATAGGTCAAATCTCGGTCATAGGACGTGTTTTATTTTCTTATCTCTGCAGTGTGTTAGTAGTAAATACTTAAAAATCAGGACATTTTTCATGAAAACCAGGGTTTCTGGCTTTCTTCTAAAACCAGGAGTCCTGGCAGCACTGGGCCTGTGTGGTGCCAGCTGGTAGAGCTAAGTGGCAGCTACCACCTTTCAACAGGGGCAGGCCCACGCTTTGCCATAGTGGGGGACTATGCTTTGCCTGCCCCATCTGGGCACCAGCTGATATTCATAACATCTATGTTGGCTTTCTCCCCATTTCTCTACCCACTCACCCACCTGCCCACCCACCCATCTATTTACTGAGTACCCAGTCATGCAACATGGCTCCAAGAGCTTGGTGAATGCCACTGAGTGAAGACCCCTGTCCCCCAGGGCTTCCTTTACCTGCCTGGCACATTGGGTTTGTGGCCCTTGGGCCAACCCTTTCAAGAGCTCCTGAGGGCCTGCCCTTCCCCCACTGTAGTCACTGCACAGGTGTTCGAGACTGATTGTCTGAGACCAGTGGCCTGCACACCCTGCAGCCATTCATCCCCTAATGCCCTGGGGTGCTGCCTGGGTGGTGTTCAAGGTTGAAGGGCCTTGAACCCTCAGGTGAGCATGTGACCAGCCTGGGCATGCTGTCACCCACTTTTGTCCATCTGAAGGTGGGAAAAGGCCATGTGACCAAGCCAAGCCAACCAGGTCACCTGAGCTATGCCCACAGTGACGGGAAAGAGGCTCCCTCTGTCCCAGGGCTTGGACAGTATGGTAGCATCCTGTCATCAGGAGGGAATACCAGCTTGGAAGCAGAGCCAGTGCTAGTGAGACGTGGTCTCTGTGATGTCACTGGAACCCCTGGACCAAGGTGAGCTGGAGCTCCTGCTATCTCTGCACGTTTTGGCCACATGTGCCAGTGCATCCCCTTTTTTGATTCAAGCCACTTTCAGGAGTGACTTTCATTTTCTGTGACTGAACAGGTTCTGAAACCTGAGCTGCAGAGGAGAGAGGCTGGTGCCCAGGTCTTGTGGTGGGCTGACCTGGTACTGGGGACAGAGCCCTGGCCTCGGGCCTTCTGGCTCACGGGGCTGGTGCTTCCACCCTTGTCTGCACTACCTAGGGCTGTGAGCTGCTGCCATGGACAGGCAAGTCCTGTTGTGGCAAAGAAGGGGCCATATGCTGCCCCTGTTGCTGGCCTGGGTGGCCCGCCCCGACCCCTGCTGGTACCTGCAGCAGCCACCCAGCTGAGTTCAAAGCTGGCCATGCTTTCTTGAAGCCATCTCGGTAGATCTGGTCTCAAAGCCTTGAGGTCAAGGCCCCCTCAAGCGGCTCTGAAATAAGAGGTTTTATCTGAGGAAGAAAGCAAGGAGGCTGTGCCTAGGCCTGTGACATCGCTAGGCTTCCAGAGCAGCAGGGGAGGCTGAGGCACACATGTTCACAGAAAATGCAGAAGTTCCTTTCATTTACATTAAGCAAATTCAGAGGCAGTGGGTCTGGCTGCCTGTCTGCTGGCTCACCCTCACAGCCTTGGGGCCCACGCCGGCATCTCAGCACTGCACTGAGACCAGGATGCGCTCTGTGGTGCCTGGTGCCAGCGTCAGTGCTGCCCTGGGACTCGGCCACTGCCTGGCTTGGCCATGCCTTTTTGGATGACCCAGAGGTGTGGCCAGGCACCTCAGCTGTACCCACCCCAGGCTGGGCAGGCCACCCTGTCAGGCTGAAAGGAACAGCCCCCTCCTATCCCGCGCTGTCCTCAGGACTGGCTACACCACTCCCTGTACCCCCGGCTTCTGGGAAAGCCAGCCCTTCTTCATACTTGGTTGGAAGCCTGAGTTGGGGGGCCCCGTGGCACTGACTAATATTGACAAATTATTAATGCATACAGTTTATAATAGGTCCCATCGTGTTATGTCTCCACCATTACAGTATCACACGGGGGACTCACTCTGTTTATTTAATCCTCATAAAAGCCCCATGAGGGAGGTTGTGTTATTGTACCCTGGGGTGAGGTAGCACTGGGGGTGCCCAAGGCAGGAGTGGGTTCAGCAGCACTGTTTGAGGAGTCCTGGGCCCCAAGCCGTCCCTCCTGGCATGGTCCTGTGAGCTCCCAATACTGCGTGATGGCAACCTGCCCCCACACGCCAGTGTGGTGTCAGGCAGAGCAGCCAGGCCTTCCGAATAGAGAGAAGATGTCACAGTCTGTTATCTCTCCTGCAGAGGCGGGAACAGAAATATTTCAGATGTAATTTTATCCTTCTTTCCTGCTGCTCCAACATGCCTATTCATTCCGGGAGGCAGGGCAGGGTTTGCTGAGTAAACATCGTACCTGACAGTTGCCTCAACAGCACTTTGCAATTATTGCACTTAGTCCATGTAATTACCCATGATTGGAGGAGGGAGTGATCATGGATTTGCCATTTTCAGTAGCATCTTAGATGCCTGAGGAATCTGCACGGGGCACGGGGCACAGACGTGCGCTGCAGCAGGATGGGGGGAGTGAGCTGCTTGGCTGCATGCACCCTTGGGACCCTTCCCCTGGGTGGCCTAGATCTAGGCTTTGTGGCCTTGCCAGACCTGTCCCCAAGGTGATGTGGCTGAAACTCCTGTTCTCCCAGTCACTGTCAACATGTGCTGCTCCCATCGCACACTGTGCGACAGCACGTCGGCCTGAGCAGAATGTCCCACTTGCAGTGAGAGAAACTTCTGGCTCTAAGTGGTGCAGGTAGACGGGTCAGGTCACCTTGGGGCAGACCATCTGTGTAGGGACTGACTGCCCAGGCAGCCTCTGGATGTTGAGACTATAAGGGCCTGGCTCCCAGGGCCTGGGGAGGGGCGACAGGGCCGCCTTCAGGCCATGTGCATTCAGAGCTACTTGTGGGGAGGAAGTGGCTCTGGATGCCGGGGCCCCAGATCTCTAGATGGAGGGTGTGTGGGTGGAGCGGGCCATTCTGGGAAGACACTCATCCTGAGCCCATTTCTCAGACATGGAACCTTTTTAGCAATTTGCAAAGATAACTTGTTTTATGAGACCTGAGCGGAAAGACCTGGAAAAGCAAACTGCTGAACACACATCCCGGGGGGCTTCTCAGGACAGAGCCTGTTTTTTTGGGTATTGGTGTCTCCTGCCTCTGTCCTCTTCCTCTTGGAGATAAAGGTCTCAGGTGTCTCATGGCAGCATGTATTTGCCAAAGACGGCTGCAACAGTACCTCCTAGCAGTAGTTTGTGTGGCCAAGTCATACAGCACCACAGGCTGGGGAGCTTAAACAGCAGAAATGTATGGTCATTCTTCTGGGAGCCCGAGATCCAGGTGTGGGCAGGTTAGACCTCCTCAGCCTCTCCTGTCTTCACATGGGCGGCCCTCTGTGCACGTCTGTGTTGCGATCTCTTCTTCCTATAAGGACAGTCAGATTGAATCA